GGTAAAATATAACCAACCAGGAAAATATAACAATTTGGATCCTCGCAATTGATATCACGTGACGAGCTCTGGACCAATCACATCTCGGTATCTGTCTAAGCTATCTTATATATTCAATTACTTCATGTATTACGTCTAATTACGCTTTTACTTCTTCTTCAGTAATTTTCATAACAATTATGGCAACATTTTACAAGGCACACGTTACAACGCCTTCCTATGCAAGAAGCGCATAAAAGACGTTTATGTTAAATGAAAGTACAAAAAACTTAAGACACCGTATATAATAGTATTATTACTCATTACAATGCACTGACAAACTAGTTGTATTCATTCAGAATTCAACTCATCAAATTAATTTAAATTTTGTTCTATTATGAAGTAATTATAACTAATAAAATACAATTCAGCAAAGGAGAGATATTTCCTTTGATTTCTGCAAAATATGGGTTCCTCCTAAAACCTTTTAACAACCATGACACCTTAAAAGGAGCAAGCGCCCCGGAAATACATTAATTCAGAATGACTTCACATTTTTAGAAGAATCTATGTTCTACTTCCTTGTTTTCATTTTGCTGTTTTAGACAGGGACATTCTCGTTTACATTATATTTCTGTTAATTTTGTGTTAAAGCAGTGAGTGCTTTTCAATAATTAAAAATCAAATATTATAATGTTATTGTCTATGCGTAAGACATAAACCTGCTTTCCATTGTAAACGAAACACTGTATCGTGCGTTTATAGACAGTTTTTGACTGTATTGTCTGACGGTGTTAACTTACAAAAGCGCCATTTTAGTTATAGCAAAATACGAAGTGCTTCCGCCATCGCTTGCATGGCTTGTATGGAAAGTGCCCAACAGGTATATAGTTGCTCAAATAAATTCTTTGAAATGGGGTGCCAGTGCAGTGGGTAACTATACAATGGGTAACTATGCACGGCCATGCTGAAGAACAGCCATTGGCGTAAGTATGCCACCGTGCTAAAATATAATAAACAAACAAACAAACAAAGCAATGGCTAGTACATACATGAAGGGAGATGAAAGAAAGGAGTGGAAACTCTTGTAATTTATTCTAAAGCGTTACAATGGGATGTGTAACATTCCGCTTTGAAGTTCCATGCTCCGAGCCGCGCTTCCACTGCGGGGGAATTTCGGAGGTCAGGCACCAGTTTCACATTACAAAGTATTACATTACCGGCAAAATGTCAGTGTAAATTATACATTTTATGTGGGGATTGCATTAGGAATAGTGCATCAAACAATTTTTCAAGTTTAGTACTCCGCCCTTCCTATAATTTGGTAAAAGAAAAATAAGATCCTGACAAAAATTCAATATTTTAGGATAATGCGCTAATTTGTACATGTTTTAATGTCCCGTTTAATCCATGATTTACAATCTTTGATAACTTTAAGTTTGCTAATGCGTGTTTTTTGTATTTCTACAATTGGAAAAAAAGGATGAAATTACACAAGTTTGTGTTCGCTTGTTTTACTAATTACACATTCAACAATTGATGAGAAATCATTAAAAGGGACAGCGAACAGTTGCTCGGATACCATTTTTTGATGTAGGAATTCTAAATCCTGAAATTTCATGCGCTCTTTAATCTCACCACCTGGTCAACAGTTGCAGATTAGCGCAAAACTTTTTGGCGGCTTAGAGCATGGGGTCAAAGGAAAGCGGCTTGATTCCACTCCTTTCTTTCACTTCCCTGGTACATGCAAGGAGATTTTATTGGTACATTAAGCCTCAGCCCTGACCTCCGCTCCCACTAGGCAACAGGCGCCGGAGGTGCCGCCCCAGGACATCCTTCTGGTGCTGTTGTCACAGATGTTAGATCCACACATGGAAGAATTCGAATTCGCAGCGAGAGAACGAATGAAGGATGGCAAGAAGAAAACAAAAAGAAGAGAATTAATAAGGTTTATCTTTATGATGAACGATTAATGATAATAATAATAAGAGTACCTAAGTGTGACGTCATACTGTCCAAATTGTCAAGGTTGCTGATTTCAAACAATTTTGTGCTGAACAAAAGTGTGGTGATATCGCAGCACCACCAAACACAGAATTTGCCTTGCTGTTCCAACCCGTTGCTTGAATGACTTGACGGTGAACCTCATGTGTAGGCTCTGTTGTTTACAACCAGTGACCTGAAAGACGAGCGAGTATGACGTTAGCGCTTCGGTACTCTATTCAACACGATTACCAAGACTTCCAAAAATGCGCGAACGTGATTACATAATCCTACCAAGATCTACTGTCTCTCGGGATTACAGTCAGATAATGAAAAGATATATTCGTTTATTTATTCATAGCAACCAAAGGGTTGGATTGATATTCCATACATTTTCAACATGATTATGAACATTATTAAATTGAGTACAATGAAATTGATAAATTATGAATATAAATACTTGTAGATCGTTAATACAAAGAACATTACAATTCATTCAGGTATGTCATATTACAAATAAATAATTACAAGAAAAAAGGGAAACAACATAAACTTGAATAGAGAAGTAAAGGGAGCAAGAGAGGGGAAAAGAAAAGAAAGTAAAGAAGTGAAAAGGCTGCAATGATCAATCAAGTAAACTCTACATCCAAATATCAAAATAGATAATATAATTTTGAAGAAAGTCAACGTATTGGTATAACTGAATAACTGCATGCACTGAATAATTATTCCAAATTGATACTCTGAAGCAAAGAATATTGCACTAATTACCTGCTTATTGTAAATTATACGCACACCAAGGGATAAAACTATTGTTAAATCGGTTTGTTTTACACCTGGGCAGACTCACTTGTTTACTTTTCCTAAGGTTATATCTTGTCTCTCGTTTTGGTGGGAGAAGGCCATTGCTTTTTTGGAAGTCTTTGCGACGTACTTGAATTATTTCATTGATCACATTTCGAAAGGAGATTATCTGATAACTCCATGATCGGACTAAGAATTGTTCATAAAAGGCTACGTTCATGTCCCTGTTTTGATAATTGTGGAAACCTTGGGTGGCTGTCGAATAATCTTTAAATTAATCATGTAATTTATTATATAATTGATTGTTGTAAAGCGCATAGAGAATTTATTATTATGCGCTATATAAAAATGACTTTATTATTATTATTATTATCATTATTAATCGTAGAAGTTCTCAACAAGATCGACGACTGGACTGGAAAGCATCAATACAACACTTTGACTATTGGGGACGCCTATGGCAAGTATTTAGTGCCACACAGATTGATGTCAAAGAAATTGAGTCAATTTTTTTGACCGATCAGAGGGCGATAGTCAGCCACTCTGCGATCGAACCCTGTGACCCAAACATCTATAGCAAACGTATGTAAAAGAAAATCCAACTTTAATAGCAATAGAAGAAGAAAAGAAGAAGCACACGAGTGACATTTTTGAACAAAACCGGCCATAAACTAGCAGATTCATATGATATTTTGAAAATTGTAATCACTATACGTATGGGCAATTCAAATTGGCTGTATCAGTAATTACTGTTGCACAGGCGCGTACACAGGAGTTTTTCAAGAGGGGGGGGGGGGGGGGGAGGGGGGGGCGGGTTAAATTTGAAAATTACGCCGAAAATTTCGCAACGGCTCAGCTGGCCGCTGAATAAGCGGGGGGGGGGGGGGGGGGAGGGGGTAAGAGGGCTTTTTTTTTGGGGGGGGGGGGTCCCTGGAGTTTACAGGGAGTTTACAGATAGCACATTGTACAAATGACCCCAAGTATCCACAAATCTTTTACACATGGAGAAGTTCCACTTTGAGCATATTAAAATAATAACTGCCAAAGTCCTAAATGTGCTTCATGAATACCTTTTGTTTGCCCTCTTGAAAAGAATACTTCCACCTGCGTATGATAGAATGGACCGTTGGTGCATAAATGAATAATGTTACATAACTTTCATGAGCGCATATCGGGTATTCATCTCTGTGGGTTTTACCTTTTTGGTATAAATGACCTTTATCTGCCCATGCGCAGATTGTATCTGTAAACTCCCTTATTTGAACTTTGATCGACATTCCGTTCCGTTGGTGGGGGGAGGGTAAGGTCAGCTCTTTTAAGTGATCCATTAGGTTTTTTTAATATTTAAAAAAAAAATCTAAACTCAGAAGGGGGGCTTGCAATAAAAAAAACATACACATAACAAAACTGAAGGTGATACCCCCCCCCCCCCCCCCTGCGTACGCGCCTGCTGTTGCGTATAGTGCCGGACAACTGTCCCATATTTTGTTCCAACACACAGTAACTAAAATGTCAAACTTTCAATATTTTGTGACTCTGGAGGGCTTTTACTGATTTGATGAAAAATTTCGCAACGACTCAGCCAGCCGCTGGATATTATTTTTTTTTATTTAAAAAAAAAATTGAGGGTGGGGGGGGGGGGGGGTTCGACGACATACAAATCCCCCCCCCCCCCCCCCCCCCCCCCTCCTTGCGTACGCGCCTGACAGCAAGCAAACTGGCTTATAACGTTTTTAAACTCACACCCCCCTCCCTCCCCCCCCCCCGAAAATGTATTCTCCGAGTGCCTTACCACATGCATACGTGACTTCCAAATAGTTCTGAGGGTTCGATTCACATGTAGTGCCTAACCAAGATTTCCGCGCGTCAACATAGCAACTTGTCCTGTTGAAGCACCTTTGGTTTTGCAGGCGAACCGTCATATCATCGAAACACGTGCTCGCCGTGTTAGCGTCGTTGCTTGTACATATGCTGTTGTCATTCCGCCCGTAGAAAGCGCTGCATATGACGACATTGTTCAGGCCACAATCGATCAAACGATATGTACCTTCACTTAGACATATAGTCACTGTGCAGATGATATGACCAAAAAAACAGAGGGTGGTGAAAATAATGAATTTGGACTTTATCATAGACATGACATATAAATAGCAGGATTAAGAAATGAAAGCTGAGAGGTGGTATACAGGGGCTTTGAGTTTGAGGGAGGGAGATGGGGGTGGGGGGGGGGGGGGTTAAAACATTCTAAAATAGGTAAGAGAATTGGAATTCAATTTATAATGATACTTTGTTTACCCAGGGAAGCCTAATCAGCATCAATGCAAGGGCCTTGCAAGTACCCATTTACACCTGGGTGGAGAATGCCAAATGAGCATTAATGTCTTCCTGAGCTAGGTACGTTAGTACAAGGGTGTGATTCGAACCCCAAGCCCTTGGACATGATGGATTGAGGGTCAAGTGAATCGACCACTATACCACGACACTTAAATTAATTGATAGGAACACAAACACTCACAGGGTCGTGAGTTAATGTATGATTAACAAATTTACAATTTCCCTTAAGATTTTCAGTAGTGGGAGGAAAAGCAAGATATAACCAGATTGCACCTTCAAAAATCATAACTTTCTCATTAATTTTGTAATCGGTTTTTCTTCAAACTTTCCCGGCTTTAGCAAAACCTCTGATTTAGGGGGGACGTTTGGTCCTATCATGGGCGTACACGCCCATGGTCCTATCGACTTCTTTTCTCATCGATTTTCCATGAATTGTCTCTTTCAGTCTTTCGTTATCTCTCTATTTATTTTCTGTCTATTTATCATTTCTCTTTTAACATGAAAGAAAGACTTTGAAGGAAATCGAAAGGGAGATTTCAGAAACATATTTCACAACCTATGTAAATCACGTTCAGATTACGATATACGTTATTGTCATGTTCGCATGTTTTATTAGAGGATTGACAGGGCTATTGACATTGCCCCAGGTCGACTTTGCGGCAGTGTTTGCAATTATTGCAGATTCACTCCCTTTTTGTGTAATTCGATATGTAAAGGGGGCTGGTGCTCTCCTCCCCCTAATCGGTATGCCTCCTTTATCTACAACACTGACAGCTACAACCCCAGTAATATCGTCAATTTCTGTAGGTAAACATAGGTCTACATACTTGCTGGTGGTACCGTCGGCTGCATTGCTGTTGTCGTCGGCTGCATTGTTGTTGGCTGCATTGTCGTTGTTGCTTCTTCTATTTAAATCGAAATGGTGCAAAATCATAATAATACAAGAAAATAAGTAAAATCAATTTCGTTTCAGGATGTGCATCATAATCAAAATAACCGCCCATAAGGATTATTCAATCAATTTATTAGTTCTTAGCACTTCTATCCACTTTTTTTTCTTCAATAGTTTTTTTTTATTGATTCCAAACAATACAAATCAGTCTTAGAAATAAAATACAGCTGTTTTTCATATTGACATGAATTCTAAACATATTCATTACACAAATTTTACGATTGATAATTAAAACAAAAATTAAATCACCATGCGACACACACACACACGCACACGCACACACACACCACCCGACCACACTTCCACACATATACCACACACTGTTCCTAGCCTCCTCAGAATACCCCAAATTGGAGCGACACAAAAAAAAAAAAAAAAATCTTATTTAAAAAATAAAAACAATATGTAAGGCTAATTTACCTGCCTTCCCTGTAATATTCTTTTCTTCTTTCCTAAATCCCAACAGTTCTTTTTGAAAATATTACGGACTTTCCCCTGCATCTATATATCCAATATTTCCACAACGCCCTAACACACACAAGCACGCACACATACAAACACTCATTTACTTGGAATCTGCTGGAAATCCTTTAATATTCACCTTATCCCGGAAAAAAGAAATCGTATATAACTCAATTAGAATTTATTTCTATAAATGGAGTTTATATTACAATATTTATTCGCGCGCGCGCTCTCTCTCTCTCTCTCTCTCTCTCTCTCTTTCTTTTAATTAATGCCCATCTTGATGGAGAATCTAAAATTTTACTCATGAACGTTTTTGTGCTTCCTAAATGACACAATCGAATCTATTTAAGTAGATAAATGGAGGGAGGCCTATTACCTTCGCAGGTGTACGTGCAATTCAAGTACTTTCTGACACCTTTACACGGTTGCTTATTGTCGAAGAGAGACCCCTTGGGTTTAAAATCACACGATGGCTCATTTTCACACAGAGGCGCCAAGTACTCGATCACATCCAATTCACAATTTCTTTCTTCACTAGTTTTGCCACAAGCTGGTTCGGTGTCAGTGCGCCCCCAGACGGCAGAAACGATGTGGATAAGTCCCTCATCGCATTTGATATTGCCGTTCTCGCCTTTACACACAAGTTCATTTTCTAAAGAGAAAGATACACTGTCATTGCGAAGATCAACATTCAATGTTGATCTTGTTGAAAGGACGTTATGATAAAATTATTATATTTTTTTTTTCTTCTCAAGGATAAAAAACATGAAAAACATACTGCTAAAATAATATATTTGACTATTTCTGATTTAAAAAAAAAAAAACTTCTGGCGGCCATCTTGAAAAATAGCCTGACTGTCAGGGAAAATGTACCGAGCGGCCATTTTGAGCAGCCATTTTGGAAAAAAATGGTCAGAGCGGATTCCAAATGGCAATAGCTACAAACCCCAGTAATATCGTCAATTTCTGTAGGTAAACATAGGTCTACATACTTGCTGGTGGTACCGTCGGCTGCATTGCTGTTGTCGTCGGCTGCATTGTCGTTGTCGTCGGCTGCATTGCTGTTGTCGTCGGCTGCATTGTTGTTGGCTGCATTGTCGTTGTTGCTTCTTCTATTTAAATCGAAATGGTGCAAAATCATAATAATACAAGAAAATAAGTAAAATCAATTTCATTTCAGGATGTGCATCATAATCAAATAAACCGCCCAAAAGGATTATTCAATCAATCTATTAGTTCTTCTATCCACTTTTTTTCTTCAATAGTTTTTTTTTATTGATTCCAAACAATACAAATCAGTCTTAGAAATAAAATAAAGTTGTTTTTCATCTTCACATGAATTCTAAACATATCCATTACACAAATTGTACGATTGATAATTTTTTTTTTAAATAAATCACCATGCGACACACACACACACACACACACACACACACACACACACCACCCGCCACACTTCCACACATATACCACACACTGTTTCTAGCCTCCTCAGAATCCCCCAAATTGGAGCGACACAAAAATAGAGAAAAATTCTTTGGACTTTTCCCTGCATCTATATATATTATATTTCCACAACGCCCTAACACACACGCACACGCACACACACAAACACTCATTTACTTGGAATCTGCTGGAAATCATTTAATATTCACCTTATCCCGGAAAAAGAAATCGTAACTCAATTAGAATTTATTTATATTAATGGAGTTTCTATTCAATATTTTTTACTGTTTTACATACCCGGCGTGCATTTAGGTGGACCAGGGGACCAACTTGCAGTAATTGCCGTGTTGTTCTGTTCACAGACGACCATCAGGTCCAAAGGATTGGCTGTATAGCCCGTCATGCAGGTGTAATTATACACTACTCCAGGAGACCCTTCATATATCAAGACACTCTCCGTATCGACACCGTCTGGCGGTGCATCGCACTTTACCCCTGTTTAACGTGAAGTATGAGAAGTGGAAGGTAAGGGAATGATTATTACTTAGGCGATGGGACAGCAGTGGAGATCTCCTCTTCTCGAGCTGAAGGAGAGGTAGCCTTTGGACAAGGCCTCGCGCGCTGCTTGTCTGCCGAGCAGGGTCTGAATATAGACTAACGCACTGTGGCTTTACAGCAGTGATCGCTGGACCGAGACAGATCACAGTCGTCGCGCGATTAGTCTATGTATTCAGGCGCGTTTATGGAAATACAGCACGAGTGCCTTGACTAAAGGCTAAAGGAGAGGTAGATGGTAGGTACTGCCAGCACTAATTTTTGTTTTCTTTTTTGCCCCCGGAAACTTGAAAAAAAAACGCGCCGACCGACAATATCGCTCAGTGGGAGGGAGGGGGGGGGGGGGGGGGGGTAGTTATCACCAATTTGTTTTCCTTTTTTTTGCCTTCGGGAATTTGAAAATCGCGCCGACCGATATTTCACACAGTGCAGGGGGGGGGGGGAGGAGCATTATTTTGTTTGCTGCTTAACACCAGCCCCCCCCCCCCCCCACCCCTTGAGCCAAACATTTTTAAAATAAAAAAAAAATTGTAAGGGGGTGGTGTTTTTTGTTTTTTTTTTTTTTAAGGTTAAATCAACGTTACCAGTTTTAGGGGGCAAGTGGGGACTTGCCACCCGGGTCCCCCATGGATCCGCAACTGACAGAAACATTGATGGGGGGTAACCCTTAAAACACCCCGCTTGTGTATCCACCTGTATGTAGAGGTGTTGTGGTCGAGTGGATACGTCACCGGACTAACGATCACAAGGTCCGCGGTTCGAGTCCCACCACGGCACTAATGTCCTTTGACAAGACATTGATCTACATTTGCCACTCTCCACCCAGGTGTTAAATGGGTACCCGGTAGGATGCGAAAGCCAATGTCGAATTGCTTAGCAGTTCGAACCTAGTAGCTCTTGTTGGAATGCTCCCCTGGGAGTGGAGAAAGTGCATACATTGTGTGCGGGCAAGCCAGAATCCAATGACCGGGGGTAATAATGTAAAGCGCTTAGAAACTCGGACATTCCCAACGTATTAAGCGCTATATAAGCAATAATATTATATATACACCCTACATGGTATGTAATGTGACCTCATTTAGACCAATTGTAATCATTTGCATTACTCTACCTCAACAAATCCCAAATAAAATTTCTAGAAATCAACAAAAAGTGTACAGTCAATATCATGTGTATAACCCATAACGAGTATATTCGGATACCATATTTGTGACACGTCCACAGCCACGGTCCCAAGCGGTCTCTGTCATGATGCAACACCCTATACATTGTATGCAGGTCAATAGACTTGTACTTCTCTGACATCACTATTTTTATAAAAATGACAGAAAATGACAGCGTCGGTCTCGTTGGTGTGACTGATGTATTAGGGACTTTTAGATTTGCACAACGACAACGTGGATTGCTACGATCGACGTCCTTTTAATGCACTGCCTTGAATGGACGTCATACGTATCAGTCCACGCAAATCTAAAAGTCCCTATTGTGGTAGCTACACGACTCGAACAGGGTTGTTTGCTGCGTCGTATTTTCTTTCAAAAATGACATTTTACGTTGACGTTTACGGTTGGGACTTCAGTTAAAGTTTCACTGTAGTTTAGGAAGGGGTTTTTCGAACATTGAACTCACCATAGAGAGCACGGATTCCGGCTATGTCATCATCAAGATCAGGAGGATCAGTGTAAGGATCGAAGAATGGATACATCAGGGAACCGATATTATGAGAATGGCTCAAACCTAGACTGTGGCCCAATTCATGCGCGATGATCAAATTATGCTCTAATCCTGTTAAAAAAGAAGATGAAAAAGAATTTGTGAACTTTCTCATTCTTTGTAGGTCACATCGTAAACATAATAGCAGAACATAATGCCCTCAAGTGCGAAATATGACTAGAAATAACTTTAATATTTGCACCAAACTTCATGCCACAATCACCGCTTTTTACACCGACTATAACATTCCCATACTAAATTAATATTATATATATAGGAATAGTAAGATTTATATACCTCACTTAAGTAATCCAGCAATCTGATTGGTCGAAATTGCATTCATAAACTTTAACTGTTCCTGTAAAAACAGACCTATTTTCCCAATAACCATGGTTATTGGGAAAATAGGTCAGTCTCCATGGTTACCCCATAGGTTTACATGTTAAAAAATGGTTTGAGCGATCAAGGATACCGTATGTGTGCGAAGAATTGGTCGGTAATTTCAATACAATTGAATCTCGATCGATCTTACCGACAATTTTATCTTGCATTGTTGACATGAAGACGAAAATAAACTTCCAAAAACAAAAAAACAACATCTGCCGATAGATCTTGATCTAAGTTCGTGCCAATATGCATTGCAAAAGTAAAAGAAGGGTCCGTTTAATGGAGCTTTTGCGAAGCATTCATCACGCGAAGCCGGTTTCAATCCATTTTAATGTATATATTGTACAAAACTGCCAAGCATGGTAACAGTGCGCGATGGCCGAGTGGTATAAGGCGTTGGTTTTAGATACATCACGTATTGTACGCAAGAGTTTGAATCCCATCTTCGACAAAAACAAATATATTTTTTATTTTTTATTTTTTAGTCTATTTTTTTTCGGCATATAAAAGTATTAATGACTGCTTTGAGAGAAATAGTTGTTTTTATACGCTCTCGGGAAGGTTACAATTGGGCTATTCCCCTCGGCACGCCTCGGGTAATAGCACAATTCTAACCTTCCCTTGAGCGTATAAAAACAACTATTTCTCTCAAAGCAGTCATTAATACTATAATAGTGATTCAAGACGGAACTTTCGAACTTCATTATCTAAATATTTTATTACAAATATCATTTAATACACACAGTGAGTTTCATCCAATTTCGTGGGATATACAACTTATTTTTAATGTCTAGGTCACATTTGCTCTACGGCTAGGATACGGCGACCGTACGCTTCCAAAATCGACAGATACTTGCGGCGGCCGGTGGCCTCAGGGTCACCCTAGGGCGTATCCCTATCTTTACAGGCCGTGCGGGTCGCCGTGGGATTATAACGCGGAGTTATAACTGTTTTAATTTCTAGGTTCGCTGTAGCGATTAGACACGCCGTAGAGCGGTTCGACGGCGACCGTACGGTAGCCTTGCGTTTTATATACTAGGGGTGAAGCGATAGTATCGGTCTGGCCGCACGGTCGCCGTATGGTTCCCCTTCGGCCGCATTGCGGGCACCTTGCGGCTACCTTACGTCTTCCTTTTATTTTTTGTCAAAAAGCTACGGCCGCCGCAGGGACGGCCTAAGGCGACCGTGCGTCATCACTTCAAAGGCCGCACGGCAGTCGCAGATTTGCTGTCTCCACAAATTCAAAATTCACCGTGCGGCTACCCTAACATATGTGACCGCTTCCGTATGTGACCGTGGGAATACTGCTGCTGTCCTATAATTGTTATTGGTAGTAGATATTTTAGACCGCACGGCCGCCGCGGCAAATGTGACACAAGCACTTCATTTTCCATCATTGAGTAGTATAGTGTTACATGTCTACACGACAAACCAACCCCAAGTTATTGCGTCGTTTAGGTGAACATCGCCTGCGATGGGATTTGAAAGGTCGAAAGGCAAGAATGCATGCGCTAAATCATTCCCATCGAAAGGGTAGCCATCTCCATGGTCACCAGAGACGAAGCTAATGACAATGTCTGCACTAGTCGGGTCTGCCGCCATTTCAAAGGTAAGGGCCGAGGAAAAGCTCCAAAACTGTATTAAAAAATTAAAACAAAATTAAAAGGAAAAAAATAGTTTATAAACCATGTTATAATGAGAAATGAAATTGAAATATGTGATTTACACCCCTCCCCAGCAATGATTCATTCCCGAATGAAATAACCTGGATCAAGCCATCCATAATACCCCAGATACGTACACCGCCAAACCAACTTCAAACTGAATCCACACCAATCGATTCTTGGTAATTCGGGCTAATTCTGGGCCCCGTCTTTAAGGAGTTGCGTTTGTTTCGGATCAATCGCAAGTCCTCTTATCAATAGCAAGTTTGCAGTCTCCTATCTCTTATGTGCGTACGTGGTCGAGACAAGTTGTGCTAGTCGTGTGGTCCCGTCTGTACTGTATTGCGTAGAAGGGAATATGCCATTTTCGAAATGTAATCAAATTTGATACTCAATACAAATTATTTCAGCATTCACTCAGGGGCGGAACTAGCTTTTTGCTAAGGGGGGGGGGTGACCAAAATAATGACGATGCGGAGCATCGTCCACGAGCCGCGAAGCGGCGAGCCGATTTCTTTGGGGGGTGTTTATTTGAACCCCGTAAGTGATGTTTTCCTGGCATCTATTAACACAATGGAGACCATAAAAAGCAGTGCATGATAACGTCTTTTTCAATCAAGTAACAGTTAAATACACAATTATATCCAGAGTTATCATGTGTTTGGTTAAGTTACCAGATGAGTTGAATATCTTCTCACAATATTTGCACTTGAAAGGGTTTCTCTCCAGCGTGCGTTCTTTTTTCTTTCTTTTTTTTTCTTCTTTTTTCCCCCTTTTTTTGTTGTTTGTTTTTTGGGGCCGCCCAAGGGGGGGTTTAAACCCCCTAACCCCCCCCCCCCCCCCCCTCGTAGATCCGCGCCTGTTTAATCTTGTGGTTATCTTGTGGTTTCCAAACCACAAGATAACCACAAAATACTTGTAAGATTTTCTTTTTTTTACCGTCTGAATTGGCTTTCACAGTGTGAATGCGGCTAATAACAATAAACACAATAATGATGAGGATTATTATTATCATCATCATAATTATTATTATTATTAATATTATAATTGTTATCATTATTATTATTACTATTATTATCATCATTATGACTTAATGACTGAATGGTTTGTAAGCAAATATCATTCCCCAAAACCTGGGGGGATGATTGTACATGCCATCCCCCCCCCACCTTGTGAGGTGGGGGGATGCATCCCCCTCATCCCCCCCCCCCCCCCCGTTGTCTACGCCCCTGCCCGTATCAGACATCTGAGCTGGTCATTTACAAAACCGTATTGCCCTAGTTTTCACTAGCAGTGGGAACGAAGGGGTATATTCTTTGTATTTTCCTTGGTCTCCTTGCTCGTATAGACTTTGCGTGAAGAGACGAGTGAAAATATACCTTGGTATTTTCCACGGTCTGGCATCCGGGCATCTTGTATTGACCGCGCCGTATTTTGTCATTTTCATTGCGCATCTATTATGCGTACGAGAACCTGCGCACTTTGCGCGCACTCTATTGTGACGTAATAATCACACCAAATGCACACTGTTTGCAGTGTATCAAACATTTTCGTCAAGCACTGGATGCACAGTACTGATTTGACAAAGTTTGTTCAGTTCTTTGAGATTGTCATGGTGGAGTTTTGTATTTGCTCTAGATGTCTGATTTGGATAACAATACAAATATTGACTGGCTTTACTTTCGGGGGATATAAGAAATATTGACCGCGCTAAGACCATATTGCCCTCGTCTTTCGACTCGGGGCAATATGATCTGAGTTTGGTCAGTATTTCTGATATACCCCTCAAGGCCAGTCAATATTATATAAGTATTTCAATAGTCAGAATGCAAACTGCATAATACAGTGGCAACAACTTATGTATGTAATTTGGATTCTGTCTATTGAAATACTATTATTCTTATCAGGTGAATGAAATAGTTTGTATCGAGGCACTTCACAAAGGTGTATGCATTAGTTTACATTTGGTTACATTACGAAAATAGCCTATTGCAAAGGCATTGCAATGCAATGCCTCCGTACTATAAGTACGCGTTCACGGAAAAGCGAAACCGCTAATTGTAACGAGGGCGGTCTGTGTGCGACGGCCGTAACCCTGAGTGTTCCTGCGTCGTAGAAGGTTTGTCCGTCGCAGAGAGAAAACTCGCTAGTATCAGTAAGACTGTGGTAAAAGCTAGCTACAAGTAGCTTGCACACATCTAGTGTCACTACCGGTATGGTCCGTCCCGCAGTTTACCTGTCCCGGATGCGTTATTTTTTTCGGCGGCACAGATTAGGTGCGTGTTGAGCAGGGGCGTCGCCAAAGGGGGGGTGTGGGGGGTGCGACACCCCCCCCCCCCACCTGTCAGGATTTTGTCGGTAAAATTGCGCTGCCGTCGGGAAAAAGAGAAAAGGGGGGGGAAGAGGGAAAAAGGAGAGGGAAAAAAAGGGAGGGAAAAAAAGAGAGGGAAAAAAAAGAGAGGGAAAAAGAGAGGGAAAGAAAAGAAAAAAGAAAAGGAAAAAGAAAGAAAAAAAGAAAAGGAAAAGAAAGAAAGAAAGGAAAAGAAAGGAAAAGATAGAAAAGAAAGGAAAAAAAAGGAAAGAAAAAAGAAGAAAGAAAGAGAAAAAGAGAAAGAAGGAAAAAAGAAAGAGAAAGGAAAAGAAAGAAAAGAAAGAAAAGGAAAAAGAAGAAAAAAGAGTGAAAGGGAAACAAAAAATACGGGGGATGAAAGAGAGGAGAGAGAGGGGAGATAAGAGTCTGAGAGAGGAGGAGTGGGAGTAAAAGAGAGAAGGGGTTGTTGGGTGGAGTCGTCTCGTCGAGGGAGCAAGCAAGACACGGGTAAATATGTTGCTGTGTCGTGTCAGCTGTGTCGGTATTCTTGCTCGATCCTCGTGTACTATATCAATGCAGAAGTTTAAAGTCGGTGAGATGTATATTGTTGGTCGGCCGACAAGTTTTTTTCCCTACGAACTGTGATTTCTTATCCGTTGTGACCATTTCGAGAGTGACTACAACTACAATACTTGTATTTTCTCGAAGTTTCACTTTCCTATAAGTTCAGCTAAAGAAATCAGAGGTTTAACATTTTCGGGGAAACTCAATTCAAACAAGGTTTAAGAATCAAAAACGGTACGACGAATCCTCTTCCTTTCTTTATACTGTGATGGAAGGCCAAAAATTCCGCGCTTCGCGCGGAAGGTGAAACTTCATTTAGACGAGTCGAGAACGGTACAACGAAATCGTCTTCTATCTCTAATAATTTAAGGAAACATCAAAGCTTCCGCGCTTCGCGCGAAAGTGGGAAACTGAATTCAGACAAATAGGGCTTATTAAAAGTCGAAAACGGTACAACGAATCGTGTTCTTTCTCTAATAATTTGAGGAAACGTCAAGGCTTTCGAGCTTCGCGCGAGAGGGGGAAACTGAATTCAGATGAAAAGGGCTTAATAAGATTCGAAAACGGTACGAGGAATCGTCTTCCTTTCTATATGTTGTGATGAAACGCCAAAAATTCCGCGCTTCGCGCGGAAGGGGAAAAACTTCATTTAGACGACTCGAGAACGGAACGACGAATCGTGTTCTTTCTCTTGTAAATTGAGGAAACGTCAAAGCTTTCGCGCTTCGCGCGAAAGGGGGAAACTGAATTCAGATGAATAGGGCTTAATAAGATTAGAAAACGGTACGAGGAATCGTCTTTCTATCTCTATATTGTGATGAAACGCCAAAAATCCGCGCTTCGCGCGGAAGGGGAAAACTTCATTTAGACGAGTCGAGAACGGTACAACGAATCGCCTTCTTTCTCTAATAATTTAAGGAAACGTCAAAGCGAGAGGGAGAAACTGAATTCAGACAAAATTAATAGGGCTTATTTAGAGTCGAAAACGGTACAACGTATCGTGTTTTTTCTCTAATAATTTGAGGAAACGTCAAAGTTTTCGCGCTTTGCGCGAGAGGGGGAAACTGAATTGAGATGAATAGGGCTTAATAAGATTCGAAAACAGTACGATGAATCGTCTTCCTTTCTCTATATTGTGATGAAACGCAAAAAATTCCGCGCTTAGCGCGGAAGGGGAAAACTTCATTTAGACAAGTCGAGAACGGTACAACGAATCGTCTTCTTTCTCTAATAATTTAAGGAAACGTCAAAGCTTCCGCGCTTCGCGCGAGAGGGGTAAACTGAATTCAGACAAAATTAATAGGGCTTATTCAGAGTCGAAAACGGTACAACGAATCGTGTTCTTTCTCTAATAATTTAAGGAAACGTCAAAGCTTCCGCACTTCGCGCGAGAGGGGGAAACTGAATTCAGATGAATAGGCCTTATTAAGAGTCGAAAACGGTATGACGAATCGTCTTCTTTCTCTAATAATTTAATGAAACGTTTAAACTTCCGCGCTTCGCGCGGGACGGGGAAGCTTCATTCAGATAAGGATTAAGAGTCGAGAACAGTACACCGAATCGTCTGCTTTTTCTCATAATTTAATGAAAGGTCAAAGCTTCCGCACTTTGCACGGGAGGGGGGGGGGACTGAATTCAGAAAAGGATAAACAGTCGAGAACGGTAGAGCAAATCGTCTTCTTTTTTATAATAATTCAATGAAACGCCAAAGCTTTCGCGCGGGAGGGGGGGGGAACTTCATTGAGCCAAGGATTATCAGTCGAAAACGGTATTATATTAATCGTCTTCTTTTCCTAATAATTTAAGGAAACGTCTTAGCTTCCGCGCTTCGCGCGGGAGGCCCATCACCCACACCCCCTTAATGAGCGCGCTTTTAAGTGATTCTCTTGCTCACTACCGCCCCTCCCTAAAATAAGATCCAGCTCCGCGCCTGCATTAAAATGTCTAGCTATGATGCTGACTAAATTGAAGAAATAATTCGTATATTTATGTCGTCGAGGAAAATGACCATTTTGCGCATATGCAAGTACAAGAGATAGTCCATAGGAAAAACAATTTAGCCTTCGGCCCCAGGTTTATAAGGTTGAATTTTTCGATATTGGACATTTAATTTTGTCGGTAATTGGTGGCTAGTTTTGTCGGTAATCGTAAGCCTTTACACCCCCCCCCCCCCCCCCCACTGAAAAAGGTTTAG